CCCCCCCACGCACGCCCGCGCCCATAGCCCTCCAGCCCCGAGCCTGGCAGATGGGCACCCCAGTCCACGCTGGCCTCCTGGCACCCACTCCAAAGCCCACACCCGGAGCCCGCGTCACCTTCAGAACTCAGGGTCGCTGTCACCTGCCCAGCCCCACGAGGCAGGGGGACCCACGCGGGCCCCTCCAAGCTCAGGTCTCGGTCCTGTGTCTCCCGTGAGGCCCCACAGGACCCCCTTCCCCTGCCACCCCCAGGGCACCAAGTTGGAGAGGATTCGTTTCGAAGTCTGATTTCCCATCGAGAAAGTTCTGCTGACCTCGTCCAACCCCGGGGTGGCACGGACAGCCCGGAGGGGGTGACAGCACCTGTGCCCGGGGCACAGAGGCCGAGACGGAGGCCACAGAGGGGGCGGCAGGCACCCCTTTTTCCTCCTTCAGCCCCGAATCCCTTCTGATTCCTTTGCCCTCAGATTCCTCTCTGCTTGAGATCCCGACAGTGGCTGTTTCCTGCCTGGTTCATCTGGTTAATAAACCAGGTTCTTTTATTTTTTTAATGTTTTAAAAAACTTGTTTAGTTTCAGAGAGAGAAAAAGCGAGTGCAGCCGAGGGGCAGAGAGGGAGAGAATCCCAAGCAGGCTCTGCATCGCCAGCAAAGAGCCCAACTCAGGGCTCGAACTCACCAACTGTGAGGTCATGACCGGAGCTAAAAGTAGGAGTCGGACGCCTAACTGACCGAGCCACCCAGGCGCCCCACAAAAGCTAGTTTCTGAAAAGCAGGGGAGTATACAAAATGCCTTGGAGAGTCGGGTTTGCCTCAGTAAAGTACTAAACGCCCCCCCCCCCCTGCACACACGCTCGCCCCGACTGGCCTCCCCGGCCGGTGCTGAGAGCACAGGGGTTAGCGAGCAGGCCAGCAGGCATGGATGCCAAGCTCTAGGGTGCTGATGGGTGCCAGAAGTACATGGGAAGGACACCTGGCTTAGACCAGGCTGCTGGGACAGGGCGAGGCCTCAACACGAGGTGATCTGGTCAAACGAAACCGAGAAGGGCCCGCTTCCAAAGCCCCTTCTCGCCACTCTGACACCCCCTTGGGGTCATGTCAGAGTCACCTCACTCCCCTGTGCCCCTTCAGGGTCGCAGAGTGCGTTCTCTCGGGCTCTCACCGGTTTGCACGGCGTGTAAAAACAACTCTCTCGGAACCCAGGCAGCGCCCGGAGGGCTGGAACAGGGAGCTGAGGCGCTCACCACCTCACATCCCTCCCTGCTTCCCAGATCCACCTGTGGCCGACCCACGGGATCCCACCTGAGCCCGCGTCGTGGCTGGGCATGCCACAAGACGCTCTTTCTGGGTTTTCTTTCTCTTTTTCTTCTTTTTTTTAATTTTTTTAACATTTTTATTTATTTTCGAGACAGAGAAGAGAC